TCCTGGTTGATTGCCTGGGGCATTGCTGCCTGGTTGATTGCCTGGTGCATTACCTCCTGGTTGATTGCCTGGTGCATTACTTCCTGGTTGATTGCCTGGGGCATTGCTGCCTGGTTGATTGCCTGGTGCATTACCTCCTGGTTGATTGCCTGGTGCATTACTTCCTGGTTGATTGCCTGGGGCATTGCTGCCTGGTTGATTGCCTGGTGCATTATTTCCTAGTTGATTGCCTGGGGCATTTCCTTCTGGTTGTTTGCCTGGCGCACTTGCCGAAACTAGAAGGGGACAGAAAAAGTAGTTTGCAATGATGCATTTAGTAAAGGGTTTACTAAATTATTTAGGTTTGAATTCCTTATGCTAAATCAAGCTAGAAAAAAAGTAGTGCTCGTGGACTACAAAGTCCAAAGTCCATCGTCGTTCCTTTGTCTTTTGTATTGCATCATTAGAACAAATAACGATGTATTATCTACCTGCAAAAGGTGATTTGGTCGTCCTTGGAGTTTGCAGTGAGGAGGTAGGCTTTGGTGATAGGAATGCTGTTCGAGCTAAAATTTTGAAGACATTTCTAACATTAAATTCTTGATCTGAAATATAATAATGTTAATGACACCAAACTAACCTTCTTCGATTTTGTTTACTAGTTCTTCTTCTACATCTCCTAGACCTTTAAATGTTTTCGCAGTAACGATATGTCTCTCTGAAGGCTTTGTGGCAATTCCTTTAAGTTGGTCCATTTCATAAAAAGGTCCGGCACCGACGCAGAACACTGTTACAGATTCAGACCTCAARTCTGATGCACCTAGAAAGACATCGTCGTCTGACATGCTGCCAGATATTATCACAAGTACTCGACGTCTTCCATCTGATTGCTTACTTCCAAATAGGTATGCTAAAGAGATCATTGAGAGAACCATTAAGGTTTGTAACGACACAGTGCTACCAATTCTCTTTGCRTAACTTTTCCTCAAGTACAAATAAATGATTTTCGAATTATTTTCATCAAAGTGTGGATTTCCAAGTGCACTCATTACACATTCTAGGTTGTKAAGTTTTCTTTCAACTATAACAGTAACAAAATCAGYTGTAGCTAGTAATATCGAACCTTTAGTAGATTGAATTGCACCTCCKAGCGCACTTTCCCCTGATGGATAGCTAATGCTTTSAATAGCATCATCCACTGAAGACTTATCCTTGTAGCTATTATCAAAACCAAATYCCATTTTAGCTTCCTTTCCAAACGCCACAACTCCTATCTTAACYCTTCCAAAAGGATTCCAGAATCTTTCGAAGATGCGTTTTGTAAAGRRTAAAGCGTAACGAAAGTTTTCTTCGCCAACTGTGGAMGAYCCATCAATTAAGAATCCCAGATCGATTTGCGCCTCTGTGGATWAATTAAAAATMATAGCTTATAATTTTGGGGTGACCTGAAAGACAAACATCCTTTTCTTGTGGTATATAATAGTTTGATAAAATGTTCATTTCTATTACCTACAAGGCCCCCCTCTTCTTGCACAGTCTTTGGCTTTTCTGGTTGCATTTCTTGACCTGGAGGRTGCTGTACATCTTTATTGAAATACAAAACATATGAGAAGCAATGTTGTAATTATTTATGGCGTTTTGACACACACTTTTCTATTATTGCAAAATAATCCTACAAATCTGTTTCATYTGATTTTGTGGAGAAGACAATAGGAAATAGAAACTGGAGGACTACATTCTACCGTCATGCTTTGCTCGCGAAAAAGGCATCACTGCCCATTATGACGAYCAAACATTCTTCTTATTTACCTTTGAGTATTTCGCCCACTAATGCATCAACTTGAGAACCAAGTTCATTAAACTTAGCAGTTATKACATGTGTTGARGAAGGAGAACTGGCTATCGCATCCAGCTGCGCACTGTCAAACATGACTCCTACTCCAACACAAAAGATCCTTGCACCACTTGCTTTAATTTCCTCTGCAAGYGAAACTGGATCATCTTCAGCCTTCCCAGCGAGCATAAAAACCAAGACATGCTTCAATGCTCTTCTTTTACTCTGTGGAAGWAGTTTTTTCATTACAACACTCGCTGCATTGCCTGTGCTCGTAGTGCCTCCTGGGTAGTTTATCCCATCAATCGCTGATTCGAAACTTTCTTGGTTAAAATGAACATTGAAGTCMATATTGACTTCTGCTTCGCTTCCAAAGGTGACTACACCGATGTGTATTCCGTTGACGGATGTTGGGAAGGCTTTTTGAACCTTTTTGACAAACTCGAGCATTTTTCGGAAGTTTCCCGAGCCTTGATCGTCTACAATATCTGATCCATCTACTACGAATCCAATGTCGAATGCCAAATTTGAMTCTGGAAGAAAATATGATTGTTATTGCATCCATCGTCCAAATGTTTGAGCAACAAACCATTGACAAGTACACATCAAGAGCAACCAATCTATCCTATTTATCATGTTGAGCGAACAAACAAGCAGATTACGCGATAATCAAATGACAAAGAAAAGTTAAAGAAAGAAAGGTCATCCAATTCATAGAATTTGTTTACATTTTATATGCTGGACAAGGATTTATGCGCCTACCAACAACATATTTATATAGCCACCTTACTACAAACAACTCAACGAACGCTCGAACAATTAAATAAATATGCCTGGCTGTATGTWATTTCCAGGAAACCAAATCATAAACATGATATCTCACCCGCCGTGTCCTGTCGTCGACTTCCAGTCTCTGCAACTATAGGTTCTGGAATCAGTTCCTCGTCAAATTTATTTGATTCCAACATAAGTATAAGACTCCTCAGGTTTTGTGCTAAACGAGATCTAGTTTTGTGCCATGCAGACCCACGCTGGCGTTCTGGGATCTTACTTAGAGCTTCGCTTTTAAGTGCGAACTCCCTGTGTAAATCTTTTAGCCGTTCCAAGTAGGAATCGGAGAGAACTGGGACCGATGATTTACGATGCCGKGCAATTTCATCTCGAAGTCTTTGTTGGAGAATATTAAGACTTTTGACATCTGTGGATATCATAAATGCTCGTGGATTACTGCAAACACCTAACTTTGATATATGTATATGTTCTACAACCTGAAAAACCCAAAGTGGGCTCTTCCGTTAGCTTTCCCTACCAACCCAACCCAAAGAATCCCTTAAAAATCTGGCAAGGGAGCTAACCAGATTTTTAACTGAATTTTTTTTTACTCGAATCCGACCCATCGGATTATATGACCAATGCCATAACCACTCGGCCATGCTGCCTTACAAAAATCAAGAAACTAGACTGAAAACGAAATTAGTTGGCACAAGCTATAGATTTCCAAATTTCTTTAGATTCGTCACCACCTTAAATTGATWAATAAAGCAATCAAATTCCGATAGTTTGTAAACCAGAATAATAGGCACATTAACGAAATCCTGATCAGATAAGAGGAATTGCGGTTAAATAAACTCCAGGAGTTAGTTCACTATTATTTACATATGTGCTAAATTCTAACTAGGGCTCACCCATTCATAAAAAAAAATATGAATAAATTATATGAGAAGGAAATGTAGAGATATGGACAGTTAAGTTGCGTACGGGAGTATATTTCAGTTTATCAGACAATGCCATAAGTTATTACATTGGGAATTTAGACTTTTATGAATGTTGAAAACTATCCCCCCCAAAAAAAAACATATCGATAGAACTAAAAACATACGATGTTTAGATATCGCCCTAATATAATTAACAAAACAATAAGATCTCTTGTCTATTTTTTTAGGTAACAAAAATACCATTTTGAATATTAGACATTTTATGATGATCGGATATTAAAATTATCATTATATATATATTGACGTACCTCTCAAACCCTTGTTACGCGTTCTTATTTGATAAGTGGGAACTGCTGATGTCAAGAGCAACAAAACAACCCATATCAACAACTTTTCCAGACCAAAACACCAAATAAACAAGCTCTTCAGCTCCATAAAAACTTTCTTTACAAATGTGTGTTTATGACGAGACTGTTTCCATCGTTATATTCGCTATTTCTTATTTAACTTCTTAAAGACATTGGTATACATTTTGTCTTAATTTGCTTTTTGGTGTTAATGATTGTTTTGATACCTGCTGMGGTTGTTGATCCGTATTCCATAAATGGCAGGTAGCAATGGGGTTTACTAGTACTTCATTGTTAAGAATATGTTGGCTTTCATCTAGTGTTACCCTGAAAAAAAAAGAAAGCCTTAGACTTCTATAAGTAGTTTTGGCCTCTATTCCGGGCGACCATTTTAAGGGACAGAGGAATTATTGATAGGATTTCATTGATTGGTCCTTAAATAAAGATTAGTGCATCCAGCATGGCCTTAGTTTTTCACTACTGTCGCTASACCGATAAAATAGGAAAAGTGATAAAAATTATTTTTGGCCTTTCTTTCTTAGATTCATAGAGATCATTTTGATCAAAGGTGTGCTAGCACATATTCCCCATATAAAATGTTTACTGGAGGGAACTCTATTCATTGATGTTTTTCGTCAATMTTGTCACCTTTGGAAGCTTCCTAGGAAACAATGAAGTGCAAGTTTGGGCAATGTGCAACCCAAAMTACGCAAATAWTTTTTTT